GGTACTATTACTCCGGCTACAGAACCCCTCATTACCACTTCAAGTTATTATCACCCGTGTACAGAAGAATTTATCACCAAAGTATTTATCATTTACCGCTAAGATTCCCCGCTTCCCTCGCCATAATCGTCGTTTTCTGATGATTCACAGGAAAAAATAATGAGCAGCTCATCCACATTCCTCAGCACTGTTGCAAGTACACATTATAGATTAAAAATTATACGATAGATATCAGAAACAACAAAGAAAGATTACTTTAACGCATTTATAGTCAATTCCTCGACATGCCAAATGGAGTGCACTATCGTTATTTTCATCCGATACCAGCAGAAACTTATAGCCATCTTTATCGTTTGACGTTTTCTGTTCTGCGTTCAGTTTTTTCAAACGATCCTGAAAATCCAGTATCCCTTAGAAAAATAAACAATTCTGAAAGCGAAACGCCTACAATGAAATGTGAATATGTCGCATATGAGATATACTTTGCCAACCTTTTCTTGACGACAAAGAATATCGAGAATAAATTTCATCGAATTTATAGCACCATATCTGGCTGCGGTTAAGAGTGGTGTTCGCCCGCGAGACGTTGCTTTATTAACATCAGCTCCGAGACTGAATANAATAATCAGTTTTTACGACAACTTACTCAATCAAGAACTTGACTGCTTTGATATGGTCACCAGTAACTGCAAGTTGAAGCATCGAAACGCCTTTCAAACTTTCCGTATCAACCGGAATACCTAACTTATAGATACACGTCGTTAGAGTATTCATATCACCGTTGCTGGCCGCTCGGAACGCAGTTTTCAAATGCTAAAAACAGTTTCCATTTATGAATGTAATGCCAAATAAATACCGTTTGAAATATGAAATGAAGCCGATATAAGAAAAGAAAAATGACATCGCTGTTCAGTGAAGACATTACTACTTAAACTGATCACACCACAAATGAATACATTCCCAACAGGATCTGTGAACAATCAACGATTCAATGACAATCAAATGATATGCTTCATAAACAAACCTCAACTTCGAAATGCTCACTAAGACTTTCCTCAAAAGGCGATTCATTGGGTGATATGTC